AGGACATTTGCATATTACAGGAGACCGAAGGGCAACTGGACAAGGCGAAGTGGATTGAGCCTCCAACTTTGCTTCCTTGTTACTCGCTCCTTCTTTGCAACACCTCTGTCTGGAGTTTGATTGTTAACAGCTTGTATGTCGTTAACAGTTAGTTTTGGTCATTTTCAAAGCTAATCAGAATGGAGTGTCAGGCAAAGAAAAATGAACACTTTCGATGCATTTTTCTGGTTCATGATTTAGTAATTTTCCTGCCAAAAATTTTCACGGACCGTGCGTAACATTTTACTCTTCGACTTTGATCGATGATCTAGTGCTGCAGAAGCCGGGAGATGACTTTGTGGTTCGTATGGAAAAGAAGCATTTGCTGAGAGCACGGCACAGACTTATGCAGCGACCCAGTATTAATATTAGTTGTCTAAAGAGAACAAGAAATAGTAAAAAATATAAAGATAAAATAAGAAATAATGAAGAAAAAATACTTCGTTAAGTAATTTGGTGAACGCAAAGAAAGTGAAATGGAGTAAATCTAAAGTAATGGAAGGAAGGTAAAATCTCTGCTGGTTGCTCAGATAGTCCTGATATTCTTGGTAAGCGGGCAGGATTTGCTGGAAGCAGTGAAGCTGGAGATAAGGCAGTATTTCTACATCTTGCATTACATAGTTCGTTCTATTCTTGCCTTCTTTTTTAAGTTCTTCGTATTACTTTGATGCTACAATCGTGCGATAATCAGTTTAGCCTAACTTTCATGTGCAAGGAGATTTTTTGGGTGCACTCAGTGTTTCATCCCTTAGCTGTAAACACAGATCGAACGCAGAATGCGAGTACGAATGGGATGGAAATCATCAGTACAGCCTTCTACCCACCATGCTTTATAAATGAGCATGTTTCAAATTGCATTTGTGATTGCATTTTGAACATACTCTGTAGCCCCTTCTTTTTTAGCCCCCACAATTGCTAACTGAATTGCCTGGTGAAGGGCCGTTTCTGGCATTTTCTCATCCACCATCATGTGCACAGAATGTTGAAGCACGGCCGACACTGTTCGTCAACGATCCGTACCCATTTCGCGTCAACGAAGACTGCCTGTATTTGAATATATTCACACCTGCCGTAAGTTTTTTTGATTTTCTGCCAATTGACAGGCAAATGGATTTGTTCGAATTAAAGGATATTAAAGGATAAAAATTTTTTTATCCTTTTTTTTTTATTTCAACTTTTTCATTACATTTATTTCAACTAAATTTTGATATTGGGATTAGTTAATTGATTATGATGGGGAAGATAGTAAGGTTGTTAATGTGACATGTTGAAAAGTCATACAGAGAGGAATATGTTGAAGTTGAAATAAATGCCGGCCTGGGCCGCGGAAAATATGGAACAGCCGTAATCAATATATTTTGATGTTGCGTGGAAATAGTTAATAGATTATGGTGGGGAAAATAGTAGGGCTGTTAATTTGGTACAAACCGTGTAACATGTTGAAAAGTCATGTAAAGAGGAATATGTTGGAGTTGGTATGTATACCTGTGTTTCATCCCTTAGCCGTAAACACAGACAGTATAAGGTGCAGTTGGGCGTGGGAACCGTCAGTACAGCCCTCTGTGTTCGGCTTAATGAAGGCCTAATAGCTTTGGCATCATGCCAAATGGTTATAGATGCACCTTGACTGTTCGCAAGTACGTGTATTGTTGTTGCAGGTATCTTCGCGAGGCGTTCTCCCTGTTATTGTTTTCTTGCACGGTGGCAATTTTCAAACGGGCTCCTCGAACGAATGGCCCGGTCATGTGCTTGCCTCCCGTGGCATAGTTGTTGTCAGCGTGAATTATCGTCTTGGCGCTTTTGGTTTTTTGGGGTTTGGCGATACGAAAACTGGCAATTATGGCCTTCAGGTTTGTTCATTTCATGCATGCCATAGGCTTTTTTCCAGGTCTAGAAATGCATATTTGAGGTATCCGAGAAACGCCTTTTGGTAATGGCGAGCCGCGCCCTGACGAAGCTCCTCACGGCCCACTTATGCTCCCTTGACGCAGCCTCCTCTCGGCTAAACTGCACGGAGACACTGAAGACATGATGGAAGTTTATTGATACTGACGAGCCAATCGGAAGATGTGAAAAAACAATGAAACAATCCCTGATCACTCAAATTTATATACACGATTTTAACGCGTAAATCAAACATGATCACCGGGCAACGACCTTCACGAAACTTCTTGCCAAATCCGCGCCCCTTTCGAATATCCCGCTTTGCCCAACATTTTTTATAGCATGGGGCACAGACTGCTTCCTCTGGCCAGCGCATCGGCGTATGTTCTATGGTTCCAGCTGATAAAAAAAGAAAAAAAATGCCGTGTGTTAGGGTAAGGGCTGTTCATCTTGGAAGGGTCTGTGACTCAGGATTTTGGGGTAATGGGAGAGAAAAATGATTTTTAGATGAATGTTCACATAGGCGGATTTAGGTGGGCTTCCTGGTGAGGACGATTTTCGTCCATCCCCCTTCTCTCCCTCTCCCAACCCCCACCTCCTCCTGCCTTCTGGTTGGTCGATCCTAACCTACGACGGGGTGGGAACGGCGTTGGGGGAGGGGGAAGTGTGGCTTCTGGGAAAAGAGGCGACGGGGGGTATCGAAGAGAGTCTTCTGCAGTAAAACAAGTGCTACCTGTGACCCTGGGGAGGGAGGAGGAGGGGGAGGGGGGAGGAGGGTGAACTGCCAATGAATGTGTATGAATTCAGTGGCTTTGGTTTTTGCCAGTACGCCATAGCGGTATTGGAAAACTGGCATTATTTCTATGGATGGTGGAGCTGAAACTGCGTTACCTACTTTAGTTTGCGTAGTTATCTGAGACCCGCAGCTTGCTGCGAAGCGAATTCTGGTCGCTTTTTTGCTTTTCAGAGAAACTTTGGAGATATTTAGGGATGAAACAAGACAGGACAAAAGCTAATGCACATATAGGCTCGCTTATCTGGGTATCTAAATTAGCACTCACTGCTTTCCCACAACTGACAATATTCGACTGTGTCCCTTTCATCGGCTGGCCAGCAGTGTCAATTAAACTTTCGTAGTTTACATTTTTCAAAAAAAATTCCAAAACACTTTAATTGAGATTTTTAGGAATATACAAGTGAGATGAAGGAGCTTAGTTGTCGTTCCTTAAGATGATGTCAGCCATTGGTAAATGGAG